CCTGCAATCGATTTTTTCTTTACGTTTTTTCCCCCGCTTTTTCTGCCAACTCAATCTTTCCTTCCTGCTCCGCTGAGGGGGCTGTTTATTTCTGCCGTGACCTTTTTTTTTTCTTTTTTTTCTTTTTTTTTACGCAGGCCCTCCAGCAAAGAAGGAAAAAAAAAAAAATTGAATGATGCGAATGAAATGGACGTTGGGTCACAGGGAGGGATAGAGAATACGTAAACACTGCGTGTTTGCTTCTGTAGGTGTCTGTTTTTCTCTTTTTTTTTTTTTTTTTTTTTTTTTCTCCCATCCTTTTTGGTTTACATACAACAATAGTACACGATATATATGTATGCGTGTGTGTGTGTGTGTGTGTGCATGCACTTTTGTGTATTTGTGTTTACATTTTGTTGTGTGGCCATCCTTTTCTTCTTTATTTACGAAGAGTTTTTAATGCGCCTTACGTGTGTTTTTCTTTTGTCCGCATGCATCTGTGTATATATGGGGAAAGGGAGGGGTGGGGAGTCAGTGACGAGAATACAGATTTAAAAAGGGGGAAAAAAGAAAAAAAAAGAGGAAAAGGAGAAGGTTTGTCTACACATCAATACTTACTCCCATCGCGTCATGGAAAACAAGAAAAAACACGACATGGCGGCGCCGTACACGCAGAAGTTGGAGGATGTTGCCGGGGACAACTTTACTCCGACTGTGAAGTCATACAATAACCAAACTTTTTTGCAGAGTCCTCAGGGGCGGCTGATTCGTATTCTCTGCGAGCTTGAGGAGCCTGCGTCGCGGCTGCGGAGGCACAAGGTGCGTTCCACCGTGCTTGTTTTTGGAAGTGCGCGTGCCATGACTACCGCGGAGCACGAACGTACGAGGGAGAAATACGAGGCGTCTATCGCTGCAGCCGAGGACGATGCGGCAAGGGTAAAGTTTCAACAGGAACTGAACCGCTTGCAGAGAACGCGATGGATGTGTGAGTGGATGGACAAGGTGCAGGAGTTGTCACGTAGGATTGCCGAATTTGCCGTCCACAACAAGGACCTCATCAACGCCTCCTTCACACATATCCCGGACTACTTCCGCCCCACCCTCAGCGAGGTGAACAAAGACGCCTCCACGACGACTTCAGAGAATGAATTCCTTGACCTTGTTATCACAACCGGCGGTGGTCCCGGTTTTATGGAGGCTGCCAACAGGGGGGCGGCGTCTGTGGAGGGCGTTGAAACGATGGGCATGGGCATTTCCCTCCCCTTTGAGAAGGGCCTCAACCGATACATATCTCATGGCCTGGCATTTGAGTTTCACTACTTTTTCACACGCAAGTTTTGGATGATGTACTCATGTCGCGCCATTTTCATTGCGCCAGGTGGTTTTGGAACGTTGGATGAAATGTTTGAGCTGCTCACCTTGCGACAAACCAAGAAAATTCCGGATCTTCCCATTGTCCTCCTTGGCAGCAGTTTTTGGAGGACGGTAATCAACTGGGAGGCGTTGGTGGAGTTTGGGACGGTGTCAAAGGAAGAGATTGACTCGCTTTGCTTTGCGGACACGGTCCAAGAGGCACTTGAATTTATTATGGGCTTTTTCTTGGAGCAGGCGGAAACCCTTTAAAATTCACACGTTTCCCTGCAAGAATAGGGAGACGAGAGCCAAAAGTTAAGAAAAGCAAAAACTCCTCCGAGTGCGTGGTTACAATGACCTTTGGGGAAAAAACGCACTCACATTACTGGGGGTGTTTGGGGGTACCTGGATGCTTCTATGCGTAATGATAGTAGTGTAGTTTTCTTTGTGCCTTTTTTCCCCCCCTTTTTTTTTTTTTGTGTCTTGTGTGGATGAGGGACATTTCTTTGCTTTGTTAGCATTTTTCTTTTTTTCCGTCTGTTTTTGCGTGGTCCACTTTTCCCAAGCCTTGGACTACCCCCGTCCACTTGTGGCAATCTGTGTGTGTCCGTGCATGCCTGCGGGCTGTTGGGGCTGGCACTGGTCACCGCCCGCCACCGTCGCCGAAACACAAAAGGCCCAAGCAAGTGAAGGAAAGGACAACAGGAGTCTCCACGTGGCCCTCACCACAATTGAGGCACAACCCGCATAGCGACTTTGCTTCCGAGGGCGGCTGTCTCCGCCGCGCAGGAGGGGAATGCCATCGAGAAACAGTGCACCGTGTGCTCAAAATGGCGCGCACACATCCATTCATCAACGCCACACTGTCGCCGATTTCATGTTGGCAGAGGGCTCAGGCCACCGAGGAAGCGCACGTCGCCTGCCGACGACACACCGATAAGATCAACACCTGTTGAATTTCGCCGTCCAGCATGCGGCTTTCGGTGCCACAGCAGTGAAGGATTGACCCACCGCCGCACGGCATGCCACAACCACCGACTGGACATTGTGAAAACCAGCCAACGTGAGCTGCGCGAAGAGACAATTCTGCATCTACTCCGCTGCCCGGCTCTGCAGTTGCCCGGACAAAAAACGTGGAATGGACACTGAAGAAGCGAGGAAGCTGTGCTTCACCAAAACGTTGAGCGCGGGTTATTGAGGTAGAAAAGCTCTGTCCTCAACAGCGCCCTACGCGGAGAGAAGGCACAATTCCCCTCGCCGATGCATAACGGGTCTGCTTTTCACGGTCTCCGCCGCAGCTCCCTCTCCGGGGGCAGGGGCTCTCTTTTACATTCCCACTGAGTAGGGCGGAAGCGCTCGACGATGGTGGCTGGCGTGCGGGTTATCGAATTTATTTGGGAATAGATGAGGGAAAAAGGTGTTGCTGTCGCTTCCCATCACGCTTCATCTCCATCTGCGTGTGGAGACAATGACGCGTGCGGCTGCGGGGGATATAACGGCAGCCCGAGCTGTGTTTGTGCATGACGATGGCACGCCTGTCGTTGGTTGCGCGTCCTCTTTTTGGACACACAGACATACATTCCTTTCACTCCATGTGTGTGGTGGGAGGAAACAATTGCTGTTACTGCAGCGACACTCCGTGCTTTTCAGTGACGTGTCTGATGTATTGCCATTTTTGTTACCTTTCTGCCGCTGTTGTCTGTTGCTCTTCTCCAAGAAGGAAAATAAACGCTAAACGCTAATCACTACTGAGAAATTTGAAGGCTTTGAAAGGACCAACAACAACAACACACCGCCCACACATATTTATATGTACTCACGTGTTGCTGCTGTCAAGGCACCCCGCACACACAACCGTCGCCGCGTGACCGGATCCAGCGGAAGGAGGAGGGAAGGAAGAGAGAGTGAGCCGCAGAGGCCCGACATGTCCTGGCGTGTGTTTACTTCCGCGGTGCTGCTCCTCCTCCTCGTGATTATTTGCTGCGGCAGTGGAGCTGCAGACGCTGTGGAGGGTAAGTCCGGGGCCGTGCAACTACCGAAATGGGTCGATATTTTTGTGCCGGAAAAGACGCATGTGCTGCCCAAAGAGGGGTCTGAAAGTGGAGTGAAGAAAGCATTTGCTGCGCCTTCTCTTGTCAGTGCTGGTGGAGTAATGGTTGCCTTTGCTGAAGGCTTGTTCGGTCATAACGTCCATGGATATGACTTGTTTGGGATTCGGCCTTACGAAATTTTGGCCGGGTACATCAAGGCTGCGGAGTCGTGGCCGTCCATTGTTGCTGAGGTCAATGCTAGTACATGGAGGGCACACACAGTTATTGGCAGTAGGAATGGCAATGATCGTTTGTGTTTTTTGTACCGGCCCACAGCAGTTGCAAGGGAAAATAAGGTGTTTTTGCTTGTGGGAAGCGATACCGTAGGATATGACAGCGATGATGATATGTGGGTAAAAGATGGCTGGGACATTCAACTAGTTGAGGGTGTGGCCACGCAGTCCACGGACGGCAAACCGAGTAAAACGATCAACTGGGGTGAACCCAAGTCGCTTTTAAAGCAGGTCCCCAAACACACTCAAGATCAGCTGAGGGATGTTGTGACTGCTGGTGGTTCAGGCATTGTGATGCAGAATAACACGTTTGTGTTTCCCCTGGTGGTGAATGGGAAAAATTACCCTTTTTCTTCGATCACTTATTCGACGGACAACGGCAACAACTGGGTGTTCCCAGAGAGCATTTCTCCTGTAGGATGCCTTGATCCCCGCATCACCGAATGGGAGACGGGACAAATTCTCATGATTGTTGATTGCGGGAATGGCCAGAGTGTGTATGAGTCGCGTGACATGGGGAAAACGTGGACGGAGGCCATCGGGACACTCTCGGGCGTGTGGGTCAAGTCACGATCAGGATTCCGTTGGGACGAAGGCTTGCGTGTGGATGCCCTCATCACCGCGACCATTGAGGGAAGGAAGGTCATGCTGTACACTCAGAGAGGGTACGCCTCGGGGGAGAAAGAGGCCAATGCCCTCTACCTTTGGGTCACGGACAACAACCGTACGTTTCATGTTGGTCCCGTTGCCATGGACAGCGCTGTGAATGAGACGCTTTCCAACGCCCTGCTGTACTCGGATGGCAATTTGCATCTTTTAAAACAGAGGGCCAATGAAAAAGGCAGTGCCATTTCACTTGCCCGCCTGACGGAGGAACTGAAGGAAATCGATTCTGTCCTCAGCACTTGGGCACAGCTTGACGCCTCCTTTTCCGCTTCGTCCACACCCACGGCTGGTCTGGTTGGATTTCTGTCCAATACATCGTCCGGTGGCGACACGTGGAACGACGAGTACCGTTGCGTGGATGCATCCGTGACGAAAGCATCAAAGGTTAAAAATGGTATCAAATTCACGGGGCCTGGATCCATGGCAACATGGCTCGTGAACAGCCGGGAGGATAACAGACAGTACGGCTTTGTGAACCACAGCTTCACTCTTGTGGCGACGGTGACCATCCACCAGGTTGCGAAGGGGAGCACTCCTCTGCTGGGTGCGGGTCTGGATGCACCCGTCAGCACGAACTTCATTGGGCTGTCGTACAGCATGGATAAAAAGTGGGAGACGGTGTTTTATGGGAAGAAAACGACATCGAACACCACTTGGGAGCTGGGGAAAGAATACCAGGTGGCGCTCATGCTACAGGACGGCAATAAGGGCTCCGTGTACGTGGATGGTGTAATTGTGGGGAGCCCAGAGAATATAACAAAGCTTGGGGCGCTGGGACATGAAATCGCACATTTCTATTTTGGTGGGGACGAGGGATACATCAACAGCAGCGTGACAGTGACGAACGTCTTTCTGTACAACCGCCCACTGAGTGTCGGCGAACTAAAAATGGTCAGGAAGAGCGACGATAAAAAAGGAAACGGTGGCGGCAAAAAAGGAAACGGTGACGGCTCCATGCGTGGGGGCGTGTCGCGGTTGCTGCTGCTGCTGGGGCTGGGTTTTTGCGCCTTTGTGGCCCTTTACTGAGGAATTGCGGTGAGGACTTCCTGCTTCCAGCGGGAACATATGCATCTGTCCACGCACTCTTTTATGCAATTGCCGCTTTCTGTGGATGCACCGTTCATTTTATCTGGTTTTAATTTTATTTTACATCCCCTTCGCTGCGCAGAGCACTTCCTCCATGTGGAAGCATGCTCTCCGAGCGCCAGCACCGCGTTTTTTTGTGTTTTTTTTTTTTTTTTTTTGTGGTCCGACAATTAAGGGATCTACTCAGTGTTTTCCCCCTTTTTTGAGTGATCATGGGCGCTCTCGGCATTGTGTGCCACGCCGATGGCGCCGGCTAATAAAAGAGAAAATGGAATGGGGACACGAAACCACGCCGAGTGTCCCAGTGGAATATAAATAATGTGTGGGCACCGGGGGTTTAAACGACTGGAAGGAGTGTAACGTGTTTTATTTATTTATTATCTGCAGGCGAAAAAAACGCACCAGCGTGCAGTTTTTTTTTTTTTGAGTAAATGCATAATGGAAGACGGATTTAACTTTGTTTTTTTTTTTTTACTTTCCAGCATATGTCCCGCGGCTCGCCACGGCGTGGGCAGCCGTGCACTTTTGCGTTTAACCAGTCATCCCGTTTGTTTTTTTCTGACGCCCCGTTGTGGTTGTATTTGCTCCTAAATGCTTTGCTTTTTTTTTTGTGTGTGACTGTGGGTAAGAACTTAACGACAATTACACGATATATGTATTGCAGTGTACTCCAGCAATGGGGTCCGTGCCCTTTCGCGGTGCTGGGCTTTGGCTGCGTATAGGAACTCCGCAGCAGGGCGTTGCTGCGAGCACGACGGAGACCAAGACGACTTCACCCCCCGAGAAGGTTCCACGCCATGCCCGGTGTGGGGAGGTGAGGCGGTCTGCCTGCAGACTGTCGGACAGAACTGCACGACCGTTTCGCTGCGGTCACTCCGTTGATATCACCCGTGGCGGTGACGTTCACAAGAACCCTGGCCCGAGGAGGAAGGCTTCATCAATATTTGGCGGCTTAACATTGCAGGCCTCTCGTCCGTGAAAAAGATTGCATTTGCGGCGCGATTGGAGCAGCGTCCACCTGACACCGTTCTTCTGCAGGAAATAAGTAACCGTGGTGATGTGGCGACGAAATTATGTGGCCATAATGACTGCCTTCAGGCCGCACTGGGCGCGGTGGTGGCGTTGCCATTCTGGTGCGCCACTCTCTGCCGTGCGAGCGCCTGTCGCTCCCTGGCACTGACCTCCTGGAGACCATTGCTGTCCGTGTATTTCCGCCGGGCTGTCGCAGCATCTGCGTGGTGAATCTCTACAACCCTCCCACAGCAATTGGTCAATAATCCGCATTTATCAATATCTTCCGTCGCTTGTGCCCGAAGAGATTATCGCGGGTGACCTGAATTTGCATCGTGAACTCTGGGACAGTCATATATACCATCAAGGACTGGAGGCGATAATTTCGCCGCTGTTCTAATCGATATGGATTTTGGGCTGGCAAATTACCCGGCGCAGGCAACACGGATCACACATCGTAATGTCTCGTCCCCTGACGTGACTGCGTATTGCGCCCTACGCATCTCCCACTGGACATTCGCCCCTTACATGGACTCGGACCACTGCTGAATATCTTACTTGGTAGAGATGGACGATGGCACTCCAGGACTAGCAAACACGCTGCCTTGACGGAAGAAAGCCACCTTTGCCCTGCATAAAGCGGATTGCATTGCTTTTGCATCGTTGTGTGAAACACTCCTTGCCACCGCCTCCACATGGTTGGATCCTCGCGGAGGCATCTTACGAGCAGCTGAGCGCCATATCCCGCCTGGCAGCCGTGACAGCTCCAAAAAGATATGGACACACGAAATGGAACAGGCCGAGCCCGCCGCCGAAGCAGCACACGAAGCACACACATTGCCTCACCCGGAGACAGCCTACTTTGAGCCGAATGTACCCGGAAAAAGGGAGGAACGAAATCAAGCCTTACGCCGTTGCTCCGCTGTGCTTCTGGAGGCCCGTGCGAAAAGACTTGGAGCCTCACCCAGCCCGAGGTGGCAATATCTTCACGGCGTGGCGGCGCCGCACCCTCATCCTTTGGAATCGGTTGTGCTCCGCACTTATCTTGGCCGCGTTTGCGCCCTGCCTCGGCAACAGGCAAACCTGCTTGTCCGTCATTTTGTGCGGGTCTCACGTGCCATACTGCCTTATACTGCTGCCGCTGCTCGCTGCACTCCTTTGGTTCCTGGTGGCTGGGAAATGGACCGGCCCTTCCTGCCGCATGAACTTGACGTGGCCATCCGTGACTCTTTGCTTGGCTCAGCCCCGACAACATGTTGAATGAATTCCTGCACCCTCTCGGGCCCGTTGCGCGTGGCACACTTAGAACGATGATCCACAACTCCTTCGCAAACGGCAGCCTGCGTGAAGACTCCATGAGTGGAAGTGACGACGGGGACTCTTCTTCACCGTCTCAGGTGGATATTTCTTGGTTGCCATTGTCTTCCATGGTAAAAAAGAGTGATGGTGAGGACTCACTGGGGCAGTGATTGATGCTGCTGCACGTGACGGTAGAGGCAATTTTTGTGAAACGAAACAACACCAAAAAGCAACAACAATGTTTCCCTTTTTTTTTTCTTTCCGTCTTTCTCTCTCCCTATATATATATAGTGTGTGTCTGCGGCTTAGCTTCCTTCATATGGTTGGCCTTGTCATTACTGTTACGGATGTCCCTCACGTGTGATATTATTTATGTATTTGTATGCACATATTCTTTTCTATGCCTGTTACTAAATGCAGTAGAAATAAAGTATGGCACATGACGATCAGGCCATCGGTATTAGGCGGATGGACGTCTGATAGCTCAGTACAGAAGTGCGAAATATGTGAGATCAAATTTAATTTCGGGTGCAGGCGTCATCATTGTCGGTACTGTGGCGGTATTTTCTGTGCGTCATGCTCGAGCTTTTTTGTTAAATCCCAAAAGCTTCATGTAAATAAACCACGACGGGTGTGACGCAAATATTTTGAATTTCTCTCAAAGACACCGCAAGCTACAAATCCGTCCCGTGCTAGTGCTCAGAGCCACCATAAAGAGTTGAACGGTGTGAATGCCTGTAATTGCGAGTCCGATCGTTTGACTACTGAATCCACCCAGGCAGCAACTGTTGTCTCTTGGACGCCACGAAGAGGAGAAGATCGAAATGCCGCAGGTTCAATTCTCGACGAGGAGAATGCTGACGATGCTGATTTGGATGATGACAACGACGATGTTTCTGCTGCTGTGGCAGGTGTATACTCCTCTATGGATGATGGGCAACACACCGGTGGCCTCGCCTTTCTTGCTGCACCGCAGGACAACCTTCGATATTCAGAGGGCTCTGACGTAATTCATGTTCTTATTTACGTACCAGCTGCAAGGTGTCAGGTGATTTTAGTTACGGTGAGTGATGGGGAAACCGTGTTGATGCTCGCTAAGCGTTTGGTGGATGTGCACTTCAGGTTGGGCCGTGGATCTCTAAAGTCGATTAGAACGGCTGAGAGAGAGATTTTACTGCGAAAACTGAGGTTTTCAAGTGAATCCATTGTTGTAGAGAATGAGGCCAATGCGAGTGGTGTGGCATCTCATTGTAAACACTTGGTTCTCTCGACTCTGTCTGCCTCCGAGCTGCAGCATGCGCACGATGGGGATCCTATGGAGGGGCTTTTTTTTGTAGCGAACTCTGCAATGAAAATAAGGACGGTATGATATGTTGGTTGTTGCCTTTTTATTTTTACTTTCGCGTGTTTGTGTTTTTGTTGTAATTTCCGCGTGTGTTATTTATTTATTTATTTATTTTTTTCTTTTGTCTCCGGCACAATTTGCAGAAAAAAAAAATAAACGCTCACGAAATCGACAAGGAAAAAATGGCCCTCATTTGGCTGCCGTCTTTTTTTTTTTTTGTGTTAAAAAACTGTGATTTTCCCCTCGTCTGCGTTTTTGCACTCACTGAGAAACAAAAGGAGGAGGAAAAACTTATGAATTCCTGTCCTTCCAATTGAAGTGCCAGTCCGCCCTCCCGTGGAATACGTGGATGCTCCGCCTTGCAATCCGCAGTGCTCAAAACATCTCATATTTATTGATTTGCAGCGTTTTTAGTTGTTTTTTTAGAAACTTTTTGGAACGAATGTGCGAGTTGTGGGGGCGAATTTTGATGGTGCTGCGCGGGAAGGTGGCGGCTGCAGTTTCTTTCTGTCGTCCCGCCCGCCTCCTTCATTGCGCCTCACGCGGTGCGGGGGAGTCCGGCGGCCAAAAGGGGCACTAAATTAAGGCTGCAGCTCTGCTGCTTTACGACGAGTTTGGCTGCTGTCGATTTATTTGTCTGATGGCTTTTGTTGCGTGTGCATGCGTGCTGGATGATTTTTCTTTGGAGCGCATTGATGCAGAGCGATGTGTGATTAAATTGTCTTCTCCCATTTTGTTGTGTTTTCCTCCTCTCACATTTCGGAGGATAAGACGTCAACGACCTCATCTAAGCACATGTTCATTTCTTTTATTTTTCTTCTTTTTTTACGTTTGAAGAAAATGGACGTTTCCGTTTTTCTGAAGGAGTTTAAAAGGGCGGGAAGGAATCTGGCGGCAGCGTTCTTTTTGGTGGCGAAGGGAGCGCGGGTGCCGCAGGTGTAACAAACGCATTTTCACAAGACGCAACAAAAACAAGTGGACGTATTTTATCTCCGGACAACTCGGGGGAAAGTGAGCAGAGCATCAGCGATCGTGAAGCCGAAGATGCGCCGCCTTCATATCTCTGAGAAGCAAGAGGCAACGGTATGATGCATTTTGGCGGCGCACGCAAGAGGGAGGTTTGGGCCGTACACGCGAGTCTTTTACGGAGATAAAAACGTACCGGACGAATCAGTGTCCAAAGACGGACAGCAGCATCCCCAATGCGACAGTTCGGGGGGCAACTCACTCCATTCCTTTACGAGTAGCAGCCAAGAGGGGTGGCGCGTCAACCGTTAATAAACCACGTGATGAGCTCTTGCGGAAAAGGAACTCTCTCAGTCAATCATTGGTGGTGAGGGAGCATACAGGCGGTTGTTTTGCGGATGATTCTCGGGAGTGTGCATTGAGCACAGGCGCTGAGGAATTTCTTGTCTGTGTAGATGATCTTATTGCCCCTGAAAACACGACTATGGGTCAGTCTCCCTTTTTGGTTGAGGACCGTGCGGCACAACTGCAAGCCAAAAATGAGGGTGATGTGGCCACAGCCACACCGAAATATTCCACGGAAGAGCAGCAGTCTTCTTCTCTTCCTCCTCCTCCCCCTGTTGAGGTGGAAGTGTGCCATGAGAAACCCAGGACTGAAAGAGTGAGTTTGTTCGCTCGAGCAAAGATGTACTCTGGTGCGACTGCCCCTGTTGGGAATAGAGAGTCAGAGGTCTTAAATACGAGAAAGTTTTTGAAATAATTAGATTCTGACGAGGAGAAAACAATAACTGCCACCACCACAAAAAATGGATCCTTTTGAGACAAATTGGAGTTCTTTCAGTTTCTATGCATGTGCTCATTAGGGAGGGGCATTGAGGATGATCTTTGGGTGCGGAGGGATTTTGGCATCACCGGAGCCAATTTTTTGTGTTCCATTTATATTTTCACGATGCCGTAGAATGGAAGGGAGGGGTGGAGAAGAGGAAACAAGAAGAGAGAGGTGGTCGCTTGAAATGGATCGTTTTATTGTTGGATCCCCAATTGGTGAGGGCCGCTTTGGCGTCGTTCGTGCTGCAGTTGTTAAGGAATCTGGAGTGCCAGCCGCAATCAAATTCGTCACAACTCCACGTCTCGATGAGGGTATTCCGCACCCCACAGCGAGGGAACCACTCGTTGCAATGCGATTGGCGCATCCTTTTGTTATTCGGAAATATGAGGTGGTTCCGTGTGTCTGCTCCTTGGCGTTAGTGATGGAGCGTTGCAAGACTGACTTGGCAACAGTCCTCTCGGGGAGAACTGCCAGCAATCCTCTGCCCGCGTTAGAGGCAAAGTCTTTATTTAAGATGCTTCTTTTGGCGTTAACGTACATACACAGCGAGGGTGTTCTTCATCGAGATGTGAAACCTTCAAATTGTTTCTTGACTGCGGAGGGGGAACTACGCCTCGGCGACTTTGGACTCAGTCGTGTATGGGATACGGAAGCATCCATGACTCACGAAGTCGTTTCGAGGTGGTACCGGGCTCCCGAGTTACTTCTGGGCCAGCGACACTACGGACCCGAAATTGATGTGTGGTCATCAGGGTGCGTATTTGCGGAACTTCTACGGGGGCACGGTGGTGCCTTTTTTGCAGGCGATGGAGATATTTGGCAGTTGTCACGAATATTTGATGTATTAGGGACACCGACGCCCACATCGTGGCCATCGGCGGTGCTGCTTCCCGATTGGGGAAAGGTGCACTTTGAGCCGAAGCGTCCTCTTCATCTCCGTGAATTTTTCCCGGATGCCTCTGAATGTGCATTGGATTTGTTGCGAAGATTACTTTGCCTGGATCCTCAGAAGCGTTTGGCTGCGGCTGGCGCCCTTCGTCACGCCTACTTTAGTGAATACCCAACGTGAAGGTCCATGGATAAAGGGACGCGGGGGCTATGTGTGGTGCGCGGGGATGAAAATTGGAATTGCTCGTATAAATGCGTGCTTATTTTCATTGACAATTCTTTTTGGTTGTTGTTGTTATTTTAATGGGTTATTATTATTATTTTGATTATTGTTTAATTTTATTTTTATTTTTTAATTATATTTTGTATTTGTTCTTGTGAATTTTTTACTGTGAAGCCCAATTTTTATCCAAAGTAAAGGAAAACTAACGCGTGTGCGAGAGAGGAGGGTGGCGAGCACATGTCTAACATAATGATGTATCGTTGCTTTCATCATTTCTCCACGTTGCCACTGGCGTTTGTACGACGGACTGCTACAAACAGTTACGTCAATCGCCATATTGCACCATCGGCGGCAGAATCAATTTCTATGCCTCGAATAATTGGCAAGGAAATTCTGTCGGACCGCATGACTGCTGTGATCCCAGAGAATATTTTGCGAAGT